AAAAATCGCAATATATTGCCTTGCTTACAGTATCGCAATATATCGGGATATATCGTATCGTGACCCTTTGTCATGATATGTATCGTATCGCCAAATTCTTGCCAATACACAGCCCTAGTCATAAATCTTTTGATGTGGCTCAGTTTACAATCTGATAATACAATGCATTTTTTTTTTCCGCTCACTTTGCCTCTGAAAGGGATGCTTGGAATTCTCTTGGAGATATGTCAAAAGAAGAAGCGATGGCAGCCTATGTTGAACAAATGAAGCTGGTATGTTTTTTTCTTTTAATTCTGGTTTTATATGGATTTTAAATGAACAATAAATAAACAGGAGTTGGATTCGCAGATCCTGGAGGGCATGCCCATAACCAATGAGGTGGAGGAGCTTCTGCGTGTCCTCGGCCCGTTCTACGAGCTGGTTGATGAGAAGAAAAAAATCTCCCAGATATCGGACCTGAGCACAGGTAGGGTTACCGCTCCCGTATTTCACTTTATGAGTTCAGAAACAGCACCCAGAGGTCCACGTCTTTACAATTTACCTCTTGTTGTACGCTCAGCCCGTTTGACTCAATTTGTCAGGCAACTGGAAGGCAAGTATATGACTGTGTACACACGCAGTGTGTTGATGTAGATTAGAATTAGTGTGTTGTTGTAGCTCACATGCTTTTAGTGTTTGACAACAGCTGTTATAAGTGAGGGAATTAAAGGGTCCCTTTGCTGTCAAAGAGTGACTCTTTCATCTGAAACAGACCATAGTATCCACTTTGTCCCTGAGGCAGATGCACCAGCAACTGAAATCTTGAGTTGTACCTGTGTTAGAATGTAAAACTGTATTTTTTTTTCTAGAAGGATTTGTGAAAATTAGTCTTAATCAATTTTGCTGTGCAGGATTTGGCACTATGCTAAATTCCCTTGAAACAAAAAGTGTTGCAAAAAGCATCATAAGAAACATGGAAATGAACAGCAGTCTGGAGTCTCAACCTGCCAGACTCAAAGTAAAAGAAGAAATGCAACAAGAGGAGGAGGAGGAAGAAGATGACGATGATGAAGAAGAGGAGAAAGAGGAGATAATGGAAGTTAGAAAAGGTAACAAAACTTATTTTTTAAGTGAGTTTGAACGTAAGTGTGTTTCGTTTAGTTTTTTAAATTGTTTTCGAAACTTTTTTTTTCTCTGCAGCCTCTCAACCAAAGAAAAAGAGTTCAACCAGGCGACACAAATCCTCCCACCTGAACGGGAAACTGGCTAACGGGGTCACCCCTCTGACGAACGGGAGTCACACCAGAGCCGCTCTGAACAGCGACAACTCTCAGGAGGGCTCGGTGGGCGAGCCTCTGCTCAACGGACACCACACAGGTTGGAAAAATAAAAAAATTTAATTGTGTTGTTGTTACACTCGCACACAACTTGCCGCCTGTCCTTGGGTATCAGTGGAGCACATGACCAGATAATCTGCTCAGCTTTAGTCTGAGAGCTGCAGCAGATCAACACACTGAATCTTTACTTATCAACTGCTCCTCACAGTTTTAATTCAGTAAAATCATGGACCTTTTGACACAAAGCCTTAAACTAATCAAACACTCTTCATATTTTACATCCAGGAACCAATCACCTGGCCAGCGACTCAGACAGTGAAGTCTACTGTGATTCTGTGGACCAGTTCGGCCAAGAAGAGGCAAGCAAAAAAAACCCAAAAAAAACACAAATCTGGGTCATATTGAAATAATTTGTCTAGGTCGGAGTAATTTATTTAGTTCGCTAATTCTAGAACTCGGAGCACAACCGATCTCTGGACGACCTGGATGAAGAGAGCCACGTCCTGCTGCCTGTGGAGGAGCTGCAGGAGGATGCTCAGGATCCTCCGCAGGCCGTTCGATGTGGGGGTGAAGATGGAGAGGCAGGCGGGACACACAAACAGAGACTTGATGTGGACATGCCAGGCAGCTCCTCGTCTAGGAGAGGAAAGGGTAAGGTTGCACCTGCAGGACATTTAGACTCACAGAAGCTGGAGTCCAATCTGGTTTGCATAGTTAGAGGCACAAAACCCTTTAAGATGTATGAAGAATGGGCAGTAATGTTTGATTTTATTGTATATTTTTAGGCTCCAGGTCTCCGGGGCTCGGTCCAGGAGCTCCCATGCTGATACACGGCGGTAGAGATGGTGACGGCGAACGGTGGAAGGGTGCAGTAACACCCGGAGGGAGCCTGAATGAGCAGATTGTTGTGGCACTGGCCAGGCTGCAGGAAGATATGCAAAGTGTTCTGGAGAGGCTGCGCACCCTGGAGGCTCTCACTGCCAGCCAGGTCAGAGCAGCCTGCTGTCATTATTAACTTACCTCAGGATGAAACACTAGAGAGGAACCTTAGTCCTAATGAATCATTCGTGAATTTATCTCACTTTGACCTGTTAATGAACTTACAAATAGCCAAATATATTTATTATTATTTTGTTAGTAGTCCTCAATTTTCAGCAAAAACAATTGAATATTTAAAAACTGGAACGTGTGGTTAAACAAACAATTTCTTGTGTTTGCTCAGTTCGATAAGCTGTGGTGGCCATCTTGAATCATGTTGACCCCAGAAGATAAACAGTTGTAATTGTACATCTTTTGATTTTTTTTTTTGTTTAATCCATCCAGTGGCCCTAATCAAGGACCATTTATGGCACATGTAGGTCAACAGACTTAAGATAATAAACTAAAATGGCTCGTTGGAAAACAGACAGCATTTAGTGGATGTTTCCATAACTGTAAGGAACTGACACAACTTAACATTAGGTTGTAAACAATGTTCATATCATCAGTTTTCTGTTTGTTTTCCACTGTTGGTAAAGTTTTAGTCTGGCCTTTTTTTTTCTCAGTAGAAGATAAGAGCTTTGTACTTTGACTTGGTAAAGAGCGTCAAGGACAGACCTTCATCAACGCAGTGCTTGTGAGTTTTTATGTTTGAGTAAAATTTTCCATTTTCTTTGGTTTTGCAGGCAAGATCAGTGGCTCTTTCTCCCACATATGGGTCACCTCCAGTGAAGAAGAAGAATTGGGTAAACAGTTTGTGATAGTATTAGGCAACATATTGGTGTTTTCCATGTGTTCTGCTTTTGAAAAGTACATCAAAGTAAAATATTTGCTCTTTTGTTCTGTACCTAGAAACCATCCTGGTGGCCTTTTGACATTTCACCAGCCAGCGTGGCCTTTGCCGTTATTTGGCCATTTGTGGTTCAGTGGCTTTTTCGTTTATATTTGCAAAGAAGACGAAGGTATGGTTTTTTAACTTTTTTTTAAAACAAGAATAAGCTTTGACACAATATTTTTTATGTCACACCTAATTAAAACATGTTTTTGGTCCTACTTTTACAGACGCATCAACTGATCCAGCTCCCAGTCCGAAACCTACGGGGCACAGCCATTAACGAGGCCCTAAAATGTCTTCAATTGGGCTGCTAATAGCTGCAACTTCCTCCTTCCTGCTGATTAAACTCACAGCCCACTAATTTGCTTTTGCACTATGAGAAAGGATTTCGGAGTAGAAGAAGTCTGATTTCTGGAGTGAGTTGCACTGCGCATGTCGTAAAGAGGGAACATGAATGTACGGGCCTGTGATTCAGTCAGGCCACTATACTGGAATCAGTTTTTTTTGTTTGAAATGGTTTGTGTTGAGAGAGAAAATCCATAGTTGAAATGTTGTCTGTTGGTTGTAGACCAACTACAGTAGCTTCTCGGTTATCTCTGAAAACGTAGGTTTTGTTGCACAAAAAAAAGTTCATAATTTCATTAGCTGCCCAGGTAATGCTGCTATAATAAAACATCATAATAATTGATGAATACAAGTGAAGATTGAATTTAAAACTGTACTGATGAGTGTGATTCTTCCTCTTAGAATAAGTAAATATTTATTGATTTTAATGTGTTTCAGTTAGGGCATTTTAGGCCAGATATCTAAATGAGGTTTGTTTGTTTTTCTGTAAAGTGGTTGGCTGAATTCATATCTGTATGACTCATCTGTCTTGCTTCATATCAGTTTATTCACATTAGGTTGGTCCAAATTTTTCACAAGTAGGAAAAAGTGCCTCATCGTCATTGTAAGGTACACTTATACTGTAGATTGCATTCAGATTTCTTAACATTCAGTTGTAGCTGTTTCAGGACTGGACCAAATGATCATTAATCGAACCATCTGTTGAGCCATGAGGTGGTGAGAAATTTCCACTCAGATTTCTGATAACGGATGCACAACGTTTCTGTTGTTTACGCTATGTTGTCATTACATGCTAACATTAAAACACTGTAATATATTTAATTTTTCATTAATGGAGATATTCATTATAAATTGTATACAGTAGCTGTACAGTTTAGATCAAAAAGCAATATTTTAATTGCATCTGTGTATTAATGTAGAATATATTTACAAAGACTCGTATGTGAATTACTGCTTTTCAGAGAAGAAATGTTTTAATAAAAAAATAAACAATGCTTTATCTTTTTACTGAGATGTACTGAAGCTTTCCTAACTGCTCTGCCCGTGCAGAGGAGTGTTTGCATGTGATAATCGCAGCTTAAAATAAAGTTTTAACAAGTCATTGAAGTCGCTTTGTGTTCTTTTCGAAAAGCTTTCGCTAATTTAGTCTGAAAGTTGCCGTGCAAATAGAAACATAAAATAAATTCAAGTTTCAGTGTTTGATTTTTTTAAACTGTTCAAGTATTCTGTACCTTTTTCATGCTGAAGCTAGGAAAAAAAATTAAGAAAAAAATGTTTACATTTTTCAAGTCTCCAATATTTCTGTTGCCAATGCAACTGAAAATTTTAACTTGGTTCTGATGAAAGATGCGTTTTCTTCCATAAATGACATGTCCTGAAATATTTATTTTAAAATGTACAAGCTTTATATCGAATATTGATAATCTATCCTAGCTCAAATTCAAAATATAGATTCAAACTATGATACTACCACCACCATGTACTAAAGATGGGAAGGAGTTTTGTCAAAACACATTGTTTTGATAGCATTTAGGTTCACCATGGGAAAAAAAAGGCACTACTGTAATCTGCTGTTTGTGAATTAACAGAATATTCTGTACTTTTTCTTTATTATTAGGCACATTTAAAGGCAAGTTTTTTTTTTATAAAGCTATTTATGGGATCTTTTTGTAAAACAGACTGTGGGTTTAGGTTGTGTAAGTATATCAACAAAAAAAACATAACACTTTAAAATTCTATAGTTTATTCCAAGCATTTTGATGTTGTAGGGAAAGTCTACAAAGTGCAACATATTAAAGACGTTTTATTGAGCATTTTTGGGTTTTTCCTTAGACCAGATAAAATATCAGGTCAAAAAGGATTAACTTGTAGTGTGGAAACAGAAAAGACATAAAAGCAGCAATTTCTGCTTGAAACAGAAGAACCAGCCCAACTGTAAAACAATGACAAAATATTAAGATTTACATGAAAAAACTAAATTTTCATGCGCACGAACCAGCGTTGCGGCCCTTCAAGAGAAATCTGAGGCCAGCCAAACCAGTCAACAAACCGCAGCAAAACAAAGAACAAATATGATCAACAAATGAACTCAAAACACAGGAAAAAAACCAGCAAATAATTCATAAAAGGACCTCGTTTAAAACATCTGACGACAAAGTAACACTGAGATTTTAAATAAAAATCCTTCCCACAGTATATAACTTGAACAAATAACCAGTGATTGCACATATTGTAAAAAAGAATTAGAGTGAAAAAAAGAGCTGACTGGAATCAACAAACATTTGTTTACGATTCTGTTTTAGTCATTACTGCTAAATTTTTAGCACTGTTAAAAAAATAAAAAAAATACACCACCACTCCAGCCAGAGCTACAGGCTGAAGCCAGACACGGTGATCTGCTGAGCGTTGTTTCTTGCCTCAAAATACGAGGTGTCCGTTTCGTCTTCAGGCTGAGGTATGAAGGGCATCGGCTGGTCCTGCAGGTTGTCCCAGTTCAGACCGTCAAACAGCGGGTGGCACTTGAGTTCTGGGGGAAGTTCAAAATCCACAATAAACAACAAAACAACACAGGCTGCATAGTTTGAGTGGGTGAATGAAACTGGCCTATTCTTAGCTTGACTGGTTTGAGAGGAGACAGACACAGTTTTGTTCTGGTCTTTTGAAGGCTCAAGAGTTAGTTCCACGTTTAATTTGCTCTAACAACTGCAAGTCTTTTATTTAGTCAGGAGCATCTCAAAATTAGATCTTTATTAGATGAATTAGGTGTTAAAAATACTGTTAAAAGACACACAGGTCTACCAGGCCACTAAAAAGGAAACCCATTTTTATGAAGGTGTGCCTGATCGGATTTTATTTAAATAAATTGTTCATTAGCCTGGAGGAGAGTAAAGATGTACAGCAGAGGAAAAGTTCCTTATATACAGTATTCCATAACCACCATATAAATATCCAACCTATAAACCTGAATAAATGTTGCAAAATTACATTTCACTGGGTATGCACCTTCACAAGAGAGCTTTTTTTTTAAAAAGAAACCTTGTGAAAACACATGGAAACACATCCAGTGTCTGATGCTGCAGATTAAACATGTTTCTGAGATGAACTCATTAGCTGCCTCAATGTTGGGTTTAGATGGATTTTATTGTTTTACTTTCCCAGAAGTTTCAGCGAAGGCTCAAGCTGCATCAAAGACAGAACCTTGAGTCATGTTTAAACACGGTGGTCGTGCGCCCTCCATTGCCCAATTCAATCCTATTCTTTTATGAAAATTAAGCCACACTTTAAATCTGTGGCTTATTATTACAGCTGGCAGACTGGGAATTGAAATTAGGAATTGAACTTTAACGTTTCGATTCTCCCAGTTCTGTTCATAATTTTTATGGACAGAATTTCTAGGCACAGCCAAGGTGTTGAGGGGATCCGTTTTGGTGACCTTAGGATCCCATCTCTGCTTTTTGTGGATGATGTGGTCCTAGTGGCTTCATCAGATCGTGATCTCCAGCTCTCACTGGAGCGGTTCGCAGCCGAGTGTGAAGCGACCGGGATGAGGATCAGTGCCTCCAAATCTGAGACCATGGACTTGAGTCGGAAAAGGGTAGGGTGCCTGCTCCGGGTCAGTAGGAGGTCCTGCCCCAAGTGGAGGAGTTTAGATTTCTCGGGGTCTTGTTCACGAATGAGGGAAGAATGGAGTGGGAGGTTGACAGGCGGATTGGTGCTGCATCTGCAGTGATGCGGGTGTTGTACCGGTCTGTCGTGGTGAAGCGAGAGCTGAGCCAGAAGGTAAAGCTCTTGGTTTACCATTCGGTCTATGTTCCTACCCTCATTTATGGTCACAAGCTTTGGGTAGTGACTAAAGGGACAAGATCGCGGATACAAGCGGCTGAAATGAGTTTCCTCTGCAGGGTGGCTGGGCTCTCCCTTAGAGATAGGGTGAGAAGCTCAGTCATCCAGGAGGGACTCAGAGTAGAGCCACTGCTTCTCCACGTCGAGAGGAGCCAGTTGAGGTTGATCGGGCATCTGGTTAGGATGCCTCCTAGACGCCTCCCTGGTGAGGTGTTCCAGGCATGTCCCACTGGGAGGAGGCCCAGAGGAAGACCCAGGACACGCTGGAGGGACTATGTTTCTCAGCTGGCCTGGGAACACTTTGGGATTCCCATAGATGAGCTGGCCCAAGTGGCCGGGGAGAGGGAAGTCTGGATCTCTCTGCTTAGGCTGCTGCCCCCGCGACCCGACCCCGGATAAGTGGAAGAAAACGGACAGACGGACGGACGGACAGATCGTTCAAATTTTTAGTTCCGGTTCCAATCAGTCCTCCAGACTCGATGCCCAACCCTGTTAACAACACTAGATCTTTAATGAGTCCAATTTAACAGTTTGGGAATCAAAATGTTTAAAAATAAAAAATTCTACAAATAATTTTATTTTCAAGAGATGATTCTTACCCTTTAGACCGGAACGCTTTGTCACGTCCATGGTGAGCAGGATTTCAATTGCATTCCTTGAGTTTGCAGACAGTTCCTCCTCTCCTTCAGGCCAGGGAATGTCTAACAAAAAAAAGACAATCAGGTGGCAAAAAGAAGCAAGAGATAACAGCATTAAAGTTGGGCTCTATGAAACACTGGTTTTGTGTTGAGGTATGTAACCCGAGCCCACCTCTATTGAGGATATTCTGGAAAACCAATTGAGGCGTCTCGTCATTAAATGGTGGGACACCTGTGAGAAATTCAAACAGACACACGCCGAGCGCCCACCAGTCCACCATGCAGTCTGTTTGGGTAAAAAGAATAAATGAATTGAGCTGCAGCAGACTACAAACATCTCCCTCTGATTCCTGTTAGTGTGAACTGACTGTTCTGCAGTGGCTGAAGCAGAAACTACATTAGACTAATAAGCATGAAGTGATTCAGTTTAGCACTCATCCACTCATATGTGTAACTGGAGAATTACAGATTTGATTCACTTTAATACACATGCAGACAATAACAGGTAGCCTGAGATGTCATTACAAACCATGAAAGTTAAGTCTATTGCATTTAAATGTTGATATTTATGACTAATAATAAGTAAATTCTGCTCCTCATCAACTGCATCAGTTTCAACCATCATCCCTATTTATTAATTTCGGTAAACAAATATTGAAAACATGACAGATTGCAAAAAGACATTGTGCAACAGACTTTATCTTTGTGTAACGTATGCAAAAAGCCTCAGCACACTGACCCCAACCCTATAGATTTCAAAAGCAGAATACCCCATCTGTCCGGTTAAAAAGCATGTCAGCCTCCACATTCACCCGTTAACAATGGTGTTACAGTGTTTCCCCTAGGAAATTGGTCTTGGCGGGGGGTGGGGGGGGACTTGTTTTATAAAAACATAAATTTACGTGACTCACCTGCAATTATGTTAATAAATTTACACATACATGAATATTTAATTGCCCAACTACA